GCGGTAGGCCAGCAGGAATAGTGGAAGGTGCTGGTCCCAATCCCTTTGGTGCTCTTCTACCACTTTCGAAAGGTATTGCTCCATAGTCCGATTGAACCTTTCCACCATGCCGTCGGACTGTGGGTGTAGTGGCGTTGTCCTTGTCTTACGTATTCCCAGTAGCTGCATCACTCTTTGGAAGACGTTGGATTCGAAATTGCGTCCCTGGTCTGAGTGAAGTTCCAAGGGGACGCCAAACCTGATCCGATTGTCAACCAGTACTTTCGCGACCGTGACGGCTTCCTGATTTGGAATGGCATAGGCATCTGGCCACTTGCTGAAGTAGTCGCTAGCCACCAGGATAAACTTGTTGCCGTCGTTTGTTACAGGGAACGGACCGGCCACATCGATGGCGATTCTTTCAAAAGGTGCCCCAACATTATATTTCTTCATTTTTCCCCTCGCCCTGGTATGAGGACCCTGGCTGGCCGCACACGTCGTACACTTGCGACACCAACTTTCGACGTCGTCACGATAGCCTACCCAATAAAACCTCTCCCGGATTTTCGACAAAGTCTTGTTCACTCCGAAGTGGGCTCCAGATGTTCCGGCATGAACTTCCTCTAAGACCTTGGAAACCTTTACCTTAGGGAGTACCAGCATCGTCTTAGAGGTACGCCCCTTCGGCACTCTCCCACTTTCGCTTCAAGAGCCCATTTTCCATGACCAAGGAATCCCATTCTGCTCAGCCGGGTCGTTCGATTCCTTCCTCCTTCCACTTTAGTATTGGTCCGATTATGTCGTCTGCTTCTTGCTCACGCTTTAACCGCGCCGTTGTCCATTCTTCGTCTTGCTCAAAAATCGTTCCACGAACGGGCAGGTTCTCTTCTTCGGCGTCGATCCTGTCGCAGTGCTTGCACACTCCGCACGGACGTCTTGACAAAGCGTCAGCGTTGTTGTGAAGTCGACCCGCTCGGTGTTTGATCCTAAAGTGGTACTGCTGTAGTCTTTCCAACCAACGCGCTACTTGGCCCTCGGGATTCTTTATCCGCAGTAACCACGAAAGGGCAGCGTGGTCGGTCCTGATCAGAAACTCCTGTCCGTATAGATACTTGTGAGAGTGGCTGACGGCTTTGACAATGGCTAGCAGTTCCTTCCTTGTGGCACAGTAATTTCTTTCTGGTTTGGAATGTAATTTGCTAAAATATTCGATAACCCTTTCCTCCCCATCTTGTATCTGCGACAATACGGCCCCAACTCCCGAGTTATTTGCATCGGTATCGAGGACGAACATTCCTTTGTCCCTGGGGTAAGCCAAAATGGGGCTGGTGCACAAAGCCGTCTTCAGTCTCTTAAAGGCCATCCCACATGTAGTGCTCCACTTGAAAGTCGCCTTCTGCTCCGTCAGTTGGTGTAACGGTGCTGCGATGTCGGCATACCCTTCTACAAATCGTCGGTAATATGTGCAGAGTCCCAAGAAGCTTCGCAGTTCATGCTTGTCTCTTGGTATGGGCCAATCCCGGATAGCAAGAACTTTCGTCGGGTTGGTTTCTATTCCTTTCTCCGACACGATATGGCCCAGGAACTCGACTCGTTTCTGGAAGAGTGAGCATTTCTTGGGATTTAGTTTCAAACGAGCGTTTTCCATTCGTTCTAGCACCTCCTCGAGATTCTTCAGATGGTCGTCAAACGTTTTGCCCATAATCATGAGGTCGTCGAGATATACCAGACAGGTCTTCCATGTCAATCCTTTCAGCACCATCTCCATCAGCCGCTCGAATGTTGCTGGCGCATTACATAATCCGAAGGGCATAACGGTGAAGTGATAGAGGCCACTTCCGGTGGAGAACGCAGTCTTTTCTTTGTCGTCCAGGTGCAAGCCTACTTGCCAGTAGCGACTCTTCAAGTCCAAGGTCGAAAACCACGTCGAGCCGGATAAGGTCGTCAAGGTATCGTCTATTCGAGGAAGGGGGTAACTGTCTTTCTTCGTGACGTCGTTCAGTTTCCTGTAATCGACGCAAAATCGGGTAGTCCCGTCCTTCTTGGTAACCAAGACTACTGGAGATGACCACGCGCTGTAGGATTCTTCAATTACCCCATCACTCAACATGTTGTCCACGAGTCTTGTAGCTTCTTCTTGTTTGGCTAGGGGTAGTCTTCGAGGAGCCTGACGGATCGGTTGCGTGTCACCAGTGTTTATTCGGTGTTCTACGATGTTGGTCTTCCCGAATGGTTCCTCCTCTGAGGCGAAGACATTACGGTGCCTACGAATGAGTCCTTTGGCCAGTTTTCTCTCACGAGCAGACAGCTGGTCCCAGTTGACCTACAAGCCTTTGGTATCCCTTCCTTAGACTCATTCTCAACATCTTCTTCCTCGCAGTTCAACACTCGGGCGACTGGCTCACACATTCCGATAATCTCCCCTTTTCTAATATTGACTGCATTGGGAAACACGTTTGCCACACGTAAGGGTATGTCACGTGCCGGCTGCACCATCCCCAAACTGTATCCGGGGTTCGTCTCTACTCTGACGGGGACGATGACTTCTGCATTACCATCTACCTTCGTTGTCTGACAGACCACTAGTCTGACCGTTGCAGCTTCCACATTCGGACGTCCCAACACAAATTCTTCGGCTCCGAAACGCAGAATTTTCTGTTCTGGGTCGATCATTAAACCATACCGGCTGATTAGGTCCATACCCAGAATGAAATCGTCAACGATTTCCGCCACCAGAACTTCATGCCTTATTCGGAGTCGACCGAGCTCTACATTCACCACCGCTGTACCCGGAACCGGTGTTGTTTCTCCCGTGGCCGTCTTTACATTCGTGGCGGTACATACTGATTTAATTTGGCAATTTTGTAACCTGGATCTACGTGCAAGGGACACTTCGGCTCCTGTGTCGATGATGATCTTCGATTCCCGTCCATTGATTTTTCCGCTGATTGTCGGACTGTCGACGCTCCCCGCGATACTTCTAACCATTATAGTAGTTGGGGCTTCTCTTTTAGCAGCCAGTACGCGCCCCGAGGTACCGACTGCCTTTAGTTTTCCTGCTCCTGATGTAGAGGAGGTCGCGGCTGCGATCTCCTCATCGGCGCTGGCGATCTAACACGGCAATCCCTTCTAACATGCCCTTGACGCCCACACCTGTAACATTCTAGGCGCCCTCCATGTTGTCTAGAACTGCCCGTCTTGATTTCGGCAATTATTTCGCGGGCGAGTTTCTCAAAGTTCACGCTCATTTTGTCGAGACTCTCTTGAATAGGGTTTACTTCGCCCTCAACCCCAATGCCTCGTATCTTAACGTTGGAACGAGGTGAGCTGTTGTATGCGGCGTCCACTTATAACGCTCGAATCAACGCCTCGGATGGTTTCTTAAACCCGGAGATTTGCAGGACTCTTCTTACCTCACTATCTCTTACGCCGTTTACGAAGGTTTCTGCTGCCAGTCTGTCTTGGAAGTCTTGCGGAGCTTCAGGATAGGCGAGGTGTACCAAACGTTTAACATCAGCCGCAAACTCCTGAAGAGATTCACTACTCTTCTGAATCCTAGATTTAAGCTGCGCTACGAAAACTTGCCGGAGGTGTTCATCTCCAAATCTGAGTTCGAGGGCGGTCGTCAAGGCGGTATAGTCCTTCTGGTTCTCTTCTAATAATGTCTGTAGAATCTCCAGGGCCGCACCTCGTAGTGCTACTACCAAAGCGGTCGCTTTCTGTTGGTCATTCCAGCTATTCGACAGGCCGCAGCTTCAAATTGCTTCTTATAAGTCGTCCACGACGTCTGCCCATCGAAAATAGGGGGTTGAACTCTCACCGGACTGAATTCTGCAGGAGTCGTAATTGTAGGTCGTGGTGTTTGCAACCTTTCTTCGAGCTCCTTGATCTTGTTTTCCATTTCATTTCTCACCTCGTCCACTTCATTTCGCACGACTTGGAGGATTTCACTTCGGCTGTTCAAAAGTGTAGTTTGCATAGCTTTTAGATTTTCTTCCATTATTCTTCGATCTTCTTTTCTATTTTCTTCCATTATTCTTTGATTTTCGCTCAACATTTTCATCATTTTGGTCAGTTGTTCCTCCATGTTGGCTGTTTGCACTCTTGTGGTAGTCGGCATAAAATTTTCTTATAGAAACTTCTAGAGTCTTGACGGACGTCGCGCGAGAGAATTTTCTCGAAAGTTCACTTTGTTCCGGTCTCCCCTAGTAGCATCAACACAAATTCGAATCCCGATTTATTTCACAATTAATCCCACTTCTGACATCAGTGTTACGATTGACGGGCGTATAATAAATCGGGCGTTGGTAAAACTCAAAGATTTATTTCTTTAGCTCGAATTACAACACTATCTATTGCAACGAATATGTACAGAAATTATTCCGGCGCTCTTGACTGTCTTCACTGACTGAATAATTCATTACCTACGGTCGCCTCTATTTAAACTCATATTCTCTGATCGAGATCTTTCACGAACATCCATCGCGACTCCGCTTCGAGACTCCCCTGGACGCTGCTTCGAGACGGCTCCAGATCTGTCTTTATGCGCCCGCCTCTCGGCCGTCGACACCGTCAGCAGTGATGATTCACCCATCAGCGCCGTGCGTACGTCCAGAAAGCTCTCGACGGCCATAGGCGTCGTACTGGGGCGGCGTAACGGTGTATTTCGTAACAGCACCCATCACTTCTTGTGATGTGGAACGCACGTTTTCAAAACTTGAAAGTGTTTTAAGCAATCAAAGGTGTAAATTTACAATCGAAAATTTAGAGAAATATACCTATAGTTTGCTTTTGTAACTCATTTTAAATACCTGAAGTATTTTAGTTTTTGTTAAATACGACTTGCTTTAATTTGATCACCATTTTTTTGCGATAACTTAGAATTAGCGGACGTAACTATAGATCGTTTATTTATTTAATCATTTTTTTGTTTGTTACACAAAATATTTGTTTCTATAATGTTTTGTTTAATGTTTTTTTTTAATATATATTTTTTTGATGTATGCTTTTTCGTTGAGCAAATATTTTCTCCTCCAGGTTTTTAACCTAAACTAAGATTTTTATAACCTAATTCGTCAATTTTCGGACCTAAAAATGTCTCCTGTTATTCATTTTTGAACGACCTAAAATCAGAAGCCTAATTATTAGTGTTAACATTGTAACAGACGTTCGGCTAAACGAAGGACCAGTGAATTGGTTAACATTAGGAATGTTGAGATATTTTGCAGTATTCCAGAAATTTTGCCAAATCTATTAATGCCAGTAGTGTTACATCGTGACATGTACATTTTCGGTCACCACAGAATAAAAGGAACTTTTCAATTTTCACATATTTTGCTCTTAAGTTATATACTTACTTCTTAATGAGCCCAGTGTTGCTTTAAGTTATCATCATTCAAAATTGTGAATGTTCTAGGTATATCTTGTTTCAGTATCTCTAATATGCACCACAAAGACTGAACCCTCTTCCTTCAAATCGCCAACACATAAATTGTGGAATTCTATACGTCCACAAGGACCAAATAGACTGAATATTGCAACTACCTGAAACCAGATTTTTATAATAAACTTTTAAAGCAAATAAGAAAAAAAACACATACCTTGATGAGGAAGTACTGTTCGTTTGGAGTCTTATTCAAAAAATGTATTTACTGTTCCTTCGAAAATACTAAAGACTTCTGATGAATAACCAACTGAACAATTCTTCAAAAATGCAGTAAATTTAGACAACTTACTACCGTTTTTGATTCGTAACATACATTTCAACTTGGGAGTACATACACCACAATGGCGACGACATGTAATTTTTCGACTGAAAAATAAAATACAATGAAAAACAAATAAAATGTATCCATCTAAAATAAAACCTGCGCTTTAACTGTTTCGGCATTATTTATTGTTTTTTCAAATATTTTTTGTAAACGTCTTCTGACTTTTTTGGGACGAAACTGAAAACAGCTTCTTCCTCTTTGTTTCGATTTTCTTCACTTAGTTATTGTTTATTTATGAGAAAAATTATTACTAAAAAGTAGCAACCACATTTAATCGTCCAAGGGTTGCTTATGCATAAATACTTTTTAATAGAACCAAAATTGACTTTTTTAAAAACTAAATTATGTTTCCAAAAGCTGCAAATCGGCGATAAAATAGTGTATGATATTCGTTTGTAATGCAGAATTATGGCATTGATGAAATTATCGAATTCGCTGGGCTTATGCACTAAACGTTCATTCCTACCATAATCCCTTGCATTATAAATTAGTATCATAATTAATATAATAGCCTTTGCATCACATTGTAAAGTAACTTCCATTATCGTTTGTAGATCATTAGGTCAAAGTAACCAAATACTCGACATTGAACTCTGAATGGGCACTTTGATTTTTTTTTACATTAATAATGACCCTGTTTACAATGAGAGACTCTTCTACTAGTCGATTAAATTCGTATGTTAAACAAGTTAGATGAACTAAATTGGGATAAATCAGTTTGTTGTCCAGTTTGAACCATGTAGGTTACGACATCTGACAGCCTCAGTTTTTTTTACGTTTTAGTGCGTTAGGTGGAATGGAGTTCATAAAACATAACAAACTCTAAAATAGTTCAATGGTTAGTTTTTTCTAGTTGCTAATAAATTTACTATATAACGCCCCCAGGACGCTTCTGTAGTTATTCTGTAAAAAAAATAAAAACTGAGTTTTGTTTTATAGATGTTCAAATCAATGTATATCTCCCTTCTCAGCTCCAATTTCTTACGCTTGGTTTTTTGAAAATCCGGCGATAAGATTAAGGGTTTTAATTGTAGTTGTTAACTAATCTATACTTAACGTATGACATTATAGCCTATACCCATCCGATTAGCTTTGTATGTAATTTTCAGTACTCATAAAAATTAGTGGATAAAATCTTGTACACCTATAAAATAAGGAATTCCTATTCTGGCAACTGATCCCGGCCGGAATAAGTAACCCCAAATTTACGAAGATTTTTGCGCCCTGGCGGGGGTTTGGTGATGGAATTTTGAACTTTTTATTATTCAGTTATCGATTTGGGCGTACCGACATTACTTTTTCTTCACAACAAATATCTATTCGTGTTCAGATATCAACCTGTTCATAAAATTTTAGGAGTTTGGGGAATTTGATAACACCGTATTGGCTATCCTGATTTGACTTTATTAAATGTCAAAACAGCTTGAACGATTTCAGAATAGATTTCAGTGATTCCTTCACGTATCCCTCCGCAACAGTAGAGGACGAGGAGCCGAGGAGCGGCGGAAGCTATGTCCTGTGTATAGAGCAGAATCTGGTAACTGTAAGAATTCAACTATCAGCTTATGAAATTTAGAGAACGTATTTTTCCCACCGCCTGTACAGTGCATTTGTTACGCTTGGAATTAATAAAAAATCTATTGTGTAGCACGTTCTTTGGTCATAGGTTTTTATAGATCATGTATAATTGTAAATAACGTGTGTTTTTGCTCTTGTCATCGACAACGCTAAATACTCTAGGCCTTTTGGTTTTCGTATCTGGAATGTTAACAACAAGAACAGAACCACGATCTGACCACTAATTCGGCAGTTCTACAACCTTCTGCGATACCCGTTATTGTAGCCACCTTTATTAGCAAGTAATCCTTGTCGGGAGCTTCGTTCAAGAAGGTACGGACATTCTCACCCGTAAGAATCTTTGACTTCTTTGACCTGTAACCGGATGACTACTTCTTCAGAAATGCAACCTACATTAATTTTTGAAATTGAATTACAACTCAAAATAAAAATAGGTAGGGGAACGAGGGGCTTGTTGTAACAGTTTTTAGGAAAACGAATATAATTCGGTATCTATTAGCTGTTTGACCATTATAAAAGTATCTGTCGGTAGTCTAACTATTCCCCTATTGGACTGAACAGGCAAAAGGTCAAAATTGTTCAACTTCACTTCACACCAGGCATTTTCTTAAAAAAGGTGCATTGTTACAACTTGCCCCGTGGTTGGGGCTAGTTGTAACAGCCATGAGACAGGTAGTAACAGTAAAAATAAAGCTGATGTTGATACATATTTAGACTTTATTTTTCAAAAATCAACACAGCACTTCATTATATACAATTTTTTTTCAGTAAAACTGAAATAAACTTTTAGAAAAGGGTCAACATTAAAGATTTGAGTTTTGTCTTCCTTTTTCTTAATATATCTGGAAAGCGATGTATGGCATAGGTCAAAATTTTGGCTCGCTTTTCGTATGCTAGGTACGAAATTTGTAGAAGTGAATTTGGGATAAGTTGTAACATGTTACAACTTGCCCCAAAGCTATTGTTACAACATGCCCCGTAGCACAATTTTCTACATTTAATTACATTTCGACAAAATTATGTGGCTTAGCGTCAAAATGTGTAAGGAATATCAAAGCTGAATAATTTTTGAGCTATATGCAAAACTAAAAGTTTTAAATAAATTAATAACTGATACGAAAAACCAAATTTTACTAAAGCAATATTTTACATTACTTGGCCAAAACGAAACACGTGCACACATACACTCAGTCCGCTGGCTGAAGGAACAGTGGTTGTGATGATATGATGTCTTATGGTGCAAGAATTAAATTCAGTAAAAAACCTGACGTTAAAGAGTTTAAATTCCGGGTAAAAATTTAGTGTTACAACTTACCCCTGTTACAACAAGCCCCTAGTTCCCCTACATACCTGCCAATATCCTTTTTTTTTCCTTCAATGTAATAACGCCTCTGGCCTTCTTCTGACTTCTCCAGTTGCAAAACTTCGTGTATTCCTTTTCATATAATATTTGATTTTTCTGGAAGCAGGTTATTGGTTACCGCTTCAGCTGCTTCAGCAATATCGTTCGAAACAAACATATCTACTTCTGAAACTGCTTCCAAGTCCATTTCAGCACACCCAAAAATCTCAATTGACAAATTTTTAGCAAACAAACAACATTGCTATCAAAATGAGCGAATTTGTCTCTAAGGTCCAGTTTCGTCAGGTGCTTCTCTCTTGCTTTCAATTTATGTCAAATTCTTTTCGAAATGAAGAATACAACCACATGCCGTCGGTGTTAAAAAAAATTGTGTATGCACCGCAGGATTAAACTATTCCCCCGCAGGGATACCAAAAGTTGAGATAACCAATATCATTTAAGCGATTCTATAAACGAAATGATCCGACAATTCAATTTCTGTAAATCCCAGCCCATACAAATACATTTACGCAAACAGATGTTGAGAAAAAGATTGTTTACGCGGTTATGCCCATGCTATTTATGTAAAAAATAATGCACAATCAACAGCAATAAATGAAAATTATTACAATAAATAATCAAACACAAGCGAATATTAGGTAATCCGATTATGAGTAAGCAATTTTTTAAATCTATATCTATAATAAAGTAAAATTTCCTTGGAAAGAGAAATATGAAGCAGTGCTGCATCGGTGGAAGTGGTAAAATTAATTTGAATTTTTAAAAAGGGTTGCTTAATGCAGCGAAATTTCGTTTTCGTTTCATTTCACAAAATAGAAAATTCAGTTGACTGCTTTCTTGAATTAAGAGCAATTGTTTTAGTGTGGCTTTGCAAATCGAGTTTTTCTTGTTTATGCGGTAGTAATTTTCCTACGACGAAGTTCAACTTAAAGAAGAGAGCGAAGACTAGACTATTCACAAGCTCTCCCTTCGCAACACGTCAGACGGTATGTAAAATTTATGCCTTGAACCTACTAACTATCGAGCTATATTACGCGACTTTATATACTTTCTATAGAACAACTTGAGACGCTTCTTAGAACCAGACAAAAATATCTCGGACACCGATGACATTTTAGCTTGCGACCTTTTTGAAGAACAAATTGTCTAACATTCGCCACAAAACAGAAGACGATAAGTCAGATATTTACTTCGTGTGTGTAAATTATAATAGTCGCCAGTGTGAATAATAAATCTGTTGTTAATGGTACACAAGGATTGTCTTGTATTAACGCAGCCTCGATAATCTCATAATCTGGATGGTATAGATCGTGTCCTCTCCACTAATTCTAAATACCCAAATAGGATAAACTTAATCACAAAGCACGACAAAGCCAGATATTTTTGATAACATTGTTTATTTTCATGGAAACACAATTTTTTAAAATCACAGTTGTGTACTTCATAGAGTACGAGTGTTGCGATTTATCATAAATCAATAATTGAGTCTTATCTTACGTGCTATCTTGTTCTTACTTTTTTCGAATTCTTCGGTGTTGTGAAAAAAAAAAAAAATTCACGGCGTCAGTCTTATAGTAGATCTACGGATATGATGCTCAGGAAAGATAGGATACCCATTTGTAGTCCTACACATAACGTCTGTACATGATAAGCATTTTTTAGTTCTTCCGGGGCAACCAAACTGAAACGAAAAATGAATTGGTGTTTCACGACTATAGATGCGTATTACCTTGCAACATTATAGCTGGCACGGTTGATTAAGTACCCGCCAGATGTATATCCTGCTATCATCACAAGAATGTACTGATAATCATGAGGTAGGAGTACGGGCAGATGTTTTCGAGGTTGAGCATTACACAACATGATCAATGGAAATATCGCCAGACTTCTGACAACAGAGATCAACACCCATACGATTCCAGGCAAATTCTGAAATAATTTAACTTAAAATACAACTAGATTACATAAATTACATTACAACTTGGACTATGCTTAAAGACTTACCTTAGGTGCGAATTTGAAAGACAGACCCCGTCCAATTAAGCTACAAACAGCAGCAAGCAAGAAAGTAATTGTAGGAACAAAGTATCGGTCTGAAGATAACATTTTTTTTTGATATCACAACATTATCCACAACTTACCATTCCAAGGACCATTTCCTTCTCCCTCCGAAACCACCAAGGCAGTAGGTGACATGTTTGTGGTAAACGTGAACAGGCCCATCATAGCAACACAAGGCCACACCTTTTTAAACAGACGTATTGCTTCTCTAAACCCAACACGTTTATCTTCTTGGCCCTTGCTGTAATTCCTCATATGGTACAAATAAAACTCATTGCGACCTGTTATAAAAATGGTGACTATTAAGGTGGAAGCGATTACAAAAACACCCAAAGAGAAGTACACTAAAGCGCTGTCTTGAACCGAAAGGCCTGTGACTAATGAGAGAACCTGAAGAACTGCAGTAAACGAAGTGGATAATCCGCTTCCAGTGAGGTAAGGTGCTAAATAGTGATGAGGAAAACTGGAAACTGTTGTGTACAAAGTGATGGTGAAGACTGCATTCATGGCTAAAATATAATTTCAGTAGCAAAGTTATAAAGACTTGTTAATAGTGTCATACAATTGATTCCGAACGTAATTATCATCACCATTGCAAAGAATCCCTCTTGCCCTAGAAGTTGTATCAATGAAGAAAAACAGTCCTAAGCTAATTTCATTTACTTACAAGAATCAGTGTCAATCTTGACGAAAGCTGTGAGAACAACAAAGAAAAATAGGATGGTGGACATGATTCCAATAAATCTCACTCTGACCGGGATAAATCTACCAAAAAGTAGACCAATGAACAAAAATGCAACTTCAGAAACTTGTAGTGTTATCATTATAGAAGCATTAAACCGGGCTTGCAGATCCGTTCTAAATTCGGAGTCAGTCTCGTTGATGGTTGTATTTCTAAATTTGTACATCCAGTACTAAAACAAGAAAATCATTTCAAACATAACGACGGTTGCAGTACTTACTCCGGTGGCAGTATTGAAGAAAGTCCATGGCAAAAGATGTACTAAACCCAAAAAGAAAAACAACAAATAAACACTGTAATATTTGTCTTCAGGAACATTCAAATCTGCCTTTTCATTTTTTTCGGGATCGATCTTGAAGTTGAGGTTCACTTTTGGTTTCTCTTTGATTTCGTTCCCCATGTTTGAAAGAGCGTTTTCAGGATTGTCTCCTTTCAAACACTACGTAGTCTACATGATGTTAGTCGTTTTTATTGGTTAGGTGGAAGTCAAATTATCTTGAAGTGTTGTTAATTAAAATAATTGTTATTGAGATTGTGACAGAGATCTCCGATAACTACATATTTAAAGGAAAGTGATTTTTGATTTGTTCCTCACTTCTTGATTGGAACAATTGTTGAATTTTGAACACTTTTTAGATAAAGCGACTTTTTATTATTGAGCTTACTTTGTTCACATGAACATAAGCGGTTCATTGCCTATTTGCGATTGTTGTCATGCAAATTGCCGCATTTTTTATCGTGGTCTATTGTTTTAACATCTCCCTACTAGAGATTTTGATTATAGTCTGATGTTACTTTATCTGTTTGTGGATACCATCAATGTGTTTCCAATAAGTACAGGAGTCACGTGTCGAAAGAGAAGCATTGCGAAAATATAAAGTGCCCTGGAATGTAAAAATTCGTAATTATAAAAACGTAAATTTTATGTTATCTTCTTTGTTTTTGTAATTAGATATCAAAGTAAATAGTGTTGTTATTGACGATTTCCTGCTACTAATCGTATTGTTAAATAGTTATAAACAGTTACTTAAACATTTATGAAGTGGTAAATATTTATGATATAGGATGATAATAGTCTACGATGTATCTTCCGAGAATATAGATAATTCATATCTGTCAAAAAATTTAATAACTGAATGATAAAATTTGTCTGAGTGACAGCTGAGAGAATCATTGTGACATGGCCATTATTCTGATAAATGCTTAGAAGCTTTTTCAGAATGTTAAGCAGATTACAAGAACTATGACTTTCCAGTGTAGTTAACTTAGAATACAACCCATGTAAAACCTTCAGGTCTAAGAGTATATAAATGAAATTTTCTGTGTAACACACGCCGTAAACATAATACAGAAGGTTATAAATTGGAAGTCAAATTTTTTTCATTTTTTGAGAAGACAAAATGAATGCGAAATCAGTTATTCACCATAAACCATTTTGTTAACATGTATCTTTGGCTTCGCATCCCTTTTTAAAAAAATAGTTTTCTTGCCGTTTCACATTTTGTAGAACTCAAAAATTCTTAATAAAAATTGGTCCAAAGTTATTTCGACAGAACTTCCCTCGCCCCTGAAATACAATAAGACAAATCCAGCTTTTTCGAAAAATTATAAAATTTGATTATGCGAATTTTATTTATTTTTTTGTGAGAACGAGCGATAGCTTTATATTGCAAAATATTGCTATTCAGGTTTTAATTTTTTCCAAATATTCTGGATGTCTAGGATGAAAATTCACACACCACAAGTGGAGGAGTATCTTATTTTATAAAATTTAGAAAACTTTTTATTATAAATTTTGGGAATGACGCCATCCCATTGGTTGGTTTAACCATCTAACCTAATATACACACAAAATGTGACAATTGGTCCAGTAGGTTCGGAGATTACTTGTCTAATAAAAATGGATACAGACACCAGCCAGACAGACAGACGGACGAAAACAGGAGACCACTTATTTCGTGCTCTAGAAGTCATGACACGTCGAGAGAATATGAAAGCGGCAATTCGGCCGATGGATTCGATTACGATAATTCCTTAGCTTACCCTCGGGAAGTAAAAATTATCAGTACCTCGACGAATAATGATAAAATAGGTACCAACTTTTAGTAGTGTCACTTGCTTACGTGTAAAGACTGGGTATTATTAAAAATCGAAGAATTATTGTTATATGCATCTAGATTAGCTTTGCTTTGATTTTAGAGTGAAATTAATAAGTAATACAAAATTTCACTCCTATGTCGTTATACAATTGTATTTTTCTACAGTGCACCAAAGGTTGTTGAAATATTTAAATGCAAAACAAATTGTTCACTTTTTCAAAAAGTAAATCGTTGCATGAAAGAATTTTGGATTTTCCGATACCCTAAATTAAAATTATTTCTACCGTTGACCTACTTACAAAAGTTTTTGTTAGTGTCATTGTCTAGGAAGGGTTACTTGTCAAAAACGTGACCTAATCAGCGTGATTGGGAAACAACAATCTCTATTCACGCTGATGTGTTCAAAAAATCACGATATCGTTGACTAAATGTGCAACGTAGTACTTTTAGAAAAAATGACGTGTAAACACTTTAGTACTAAACATCTCGAGTTCAGCAACTGGGTACCTGGATACCGCTGCAGTTTACGCATACCTTTCTTAGGCCGTGCGAAAGATTCGCCGCAGTTTACATGTAGGGATTAAAATATTTTCCCCCTGTTGCAATTTACGTTTGTCAAACTGTAACAGGGTGATTTTGTAACATTGAACTAAAACCACACCAACAAAAAAAGTAGATGAGGAATTAGAAAATGACCGCCACCAGAATTCATACAGTAATAAACTCACAGTACCATCAATCGTTTTTCTGTCAAGCGACACTTTAATTGTTTACCCTTAACAATTTAACATTCGTAGACTCATTTGGTGCCTACTGTTGCAAGTTTAGTGTCAGTCTCAGTTTAATTATTCACCTTAACTAGTGTAGGGATGGTGACTGCATATTATATAGTCAGATTCGTAAAGTCAGACATTTGTAGTGTCGAGAGTCAGATAAAGTAAAAGAAAGCGACACAATTGGCTCGTAAAAACTTCCTAGTGCATTTCTACTTATACCACAGTGTTTTACAGAATCGACAGTTTTAATTAATTTCAATTTTTACTTCCCTACTCTTACGTTTTCTCGACGTTATATGACCTCTAGAGTACCAAGAAATAGCTCTGCTGTTTCCGTCAGTCAGTCTGTCTGTCTGTCTGTCCGTCCGTCTGTCGGTCGTCCCGATTTTTATTAGACAAATAATTTCCGAAAGTACTGGGCCGATTGTCGTAAAATTTTGTATTTATATTAGGAATATGACGTAGATGCTAAAACGCTAACCAAAATTTGTCTAATCATTCCCACCAATAATTGTATAAAATATGCGAATGTTTTGAAATCTTGCAGATGTTTTAAAGTTATGATAAGCATGATAAATTTTTAATCAAAATATAAATATGATTATTGATGAGTCTACACTTGTGATTTATCTTTCCATACACATTTTTATGGATATGCTTATGCAGGATGACTTAAAAAAATTAATGAATTGTGCGTGAGTTTATTTTATTAATTTAACTTAAGCACGGTAAGTTTTTGATCAAAATGTATTTGCTCATTCCCCTAAAAAATTGATGACGTCACCTCAAAACATTGCTGAATAAATCTTACCTTAAATGTGCAAAATGTGATGAGTCTACATATACTTGTTTGTGATTTATCACTGTATTAATATTTTTTAGATTTGTTTATACAGGTGGTTAAAAAAAATTAATGACCGAGTGAATTTATTTTATTGATTAAATCAGGAACGGCTCACTCCATTTTCGAAAAAAATTTTGGGAATACAATACTATTATTTTTAGTATTACACTGCATCAATCCAAGTTGATATACGTATCCTTCCAAAAATGTTGATGACGTCATTATAAAATTGTCTAATGAAAAAACTCAATGCAAAAATGATGTTTCATTGTACTTTCGGTACGAGGGAAGTTCTGTCAAAATAACTTTAGACCAATTTTTTTCATTATAGCTGCATCAAAATCCTGGATTAAAACACGCAGATACATGCATAATCAGGTCTTTAAAACACTATTCGATTAAAGTTGCTTAGGTAGCCAAGAAATATTTGAAGGTCAATAAGAGACAACTAGCACTAATTTTATTTAAATAAATATAAATATTACAATAACCATTGTTTAAAATTTGGAACCCCGGAGCTTTAAGCTTATTATTATTTGTTAATTCGGAAGTAGTGACTTCTTCATTACCACTGTTTGATTCAACAACTGATCCATCCATCCACGCTCATTCTGCTATCTGTCATGATTGTTCCAGCACTCCGTCTAAAAACATAACCGGTGTAATTCATAGTCTCTGGGAGATTTAAGAAGCGCGCCATAGGAAAAGGACATTTTCCAAAATTATTAATTTTAACGGCGTGCTTCGTGCATTTTCCTTTGTCATACCTCAAGAACTTTGCAGTCATATTTTCTGAACTTAGTAAGTGATATTTGTTGAATAACTTGATATACAATACCCAAATTCATCAATAACAGCAAATTTTGGTCCTTTTTCCGTTTTAGTTGAATGGATGGGGATTAATAAAGCAGAATCCTCTCTCTTGATCTCAAACTTGCGCAGCTCACACAATTCATATCTTCTTCATGAACCAAATATACCAGCAATAGCTGCAACCTGAAAACAGTCTGCATTGATAAAAGACTTGTGCAGGTTTTATAAGTCAATAGTTATCTTCAAAAACAAGAACTTACCAACATAAAATATACGTAACTTTTCCTGTGAAAATACCAACAAGAGAATTGTTAAAATTTGTTTTTCCTTGAGGACAAATATCCTGAAAGATCACCGTGCGTTATTAAGTAGACTTTCTAAATTTACTGTCAACTAAAAGAATTGATTTGGATCCTTCAGTTCTTGTATGTATAATTTAGTGTGTATTTATTATCCTTTACTTTTGTTGGAATTCGACTGTATATTGCGTAGATAATATAAATATTTCCCACCTTCAAATGTGTCAAAAATTTACCGGTATGTATTTACATTTCAAGAGATTGCTTATTGTATTATTAATGTCTTTTTTCTACGTCTTAATTTTAAATATTGTATTTTTCCGTTTTGTATATTTCCGTTCTCCGACAATTTATAGAAGATTCTAAAATTCTAACTAATTTTTCTGTATTTTGATGAAGTAAATCTCCAATTTGTCAATAACTGATTCATAGATATCTTGTTATTACTAAGGTTATAAAGTCCAATTTTAATTCCGAGTAGACAGACACAAATGGAATTTTTTCATCAGCTTGTTGAAATTTATAAATTATTATTCTATGCACTTAATACATAAGTGCTCAAACATTCTCAGATTTTCTTATCTTGGTAAAACACCACTATTAGCTGATGTCTATCAATATTTATTTGAATTTGTTGTTTTTGTAATTTTCTTTAATGCTTTGATTTCTCAACATATTTTAAAACCACATTAATAATCTTCTTGTTCTTATCGTGCCATCTCCAACCGGA